GTGTGTGTGTGTGTGTGTGTGTTTGGAGATATTGCTAATCTCTCCTGTAGTCTGGGAAGTAGGTCATGTGGGAGAGTCCACCGCCACGCCACTGAAGACACAGGGCTGAGAGAGAAAGACACCTGTCAGAACGCAGGCGTCTCATCAGCCTGCACGTCTGCGCTCATATAATTATGATAATAATCACCCGGGGTAATCAGAGCTGTGGTCGTCAGCCATGTGGAGTACCAGGCTGATCAGGGAGGGAAACAACCCTAGGATGAGATGCAAATATTAATCTGTCAAAGAGTCAAACTGATAACAGTGACCTTTGACTCAGAACATTTACTCTAACTTGTGATTGGGTCACAGACTGACCACAGGTCAGCTGTGTTGTCTAGTTTCATCCTAACTTTCCTACTCATTTAATAATTCCTATCTCCAGGTGAAATGACTTTTTAGTTCATATGAACCGAGCCGGCTCAGCCCCCGGGTGTGTAATCCTCTGATCTGCAGGAAGATGACACAGTAAGATGATGTTGTTCTCAGGCTGATACCAGGCAACACACGCATGCTGCTCTGATCCTCGGGTCGCACATGAACCGCCGCCGCCGCCGCCTCGTTCGTGTCAAGACTTGTACGTACTGTATTAGGATGCAGATTTTTGTCGTGTGTGTGTTTTATTTTCCCAAGAGGACCCAGCTGTGTTCGAAGTGAGAAGTTTGGGGTTTTTTTTTTTCATCAGTGGCTCACTGTGGCCCCCTGCAGGACCATGTATGTTCCTCCTGTGTCAGGAGTTCTCTTACTGTGGTTTTATTGGTGTTGTTGTTGTTGTTGTTGTTGTTGTTGTTGAACATTTAAACTGTAACTGATTACAAATCAAATCTAATTTTAGACCTGAAACACGTTTAAAACGACGAGGTTTAAATTTAGTTTCTTTCCCTTTGTTTATGTATCTAAAAATAGGGTTAAGTAGAGTTGTTGTGTTATTTTCAGAATACCTTGATCCGTCTGATAGGCTGATATTCACTGATGCTTGTGCTGGCGCTGACCTCAGAGAAACGTTTGGTAAAAGCAGGAGAGGCAGGATGAGGTAGTATTCAAACGTGGAAATAAATGACTGAGTTAAGAAAACGCTGACCGGTGCATCAATAATCTCAGGCAGCAAATTAAATTAAAAGCAAATGGCTTTCAGTGCCAAAGTGGAGGAGGAGCTCATTGGGTTCTCATAGTAGGGGGCGGGACCCGTAGGGAAGCTAATGATTGGTTTGGCAAGAGAAGACAAATTCAATTTAAATTTTAATATTTTTTATACCGATATTAATAGTGGTGGAATGACACTATCTTGTACTTTTTATTGAATGATATTGACTGATTTTGAATGAGGGAATTTAACAATAATCCTGTCTTAACCATAGCTGTGGACGAAACCTAACCTTTTTTTGCACATAGCCGTGTTACATCATGCACTTCCTCCATCCTCTCCTCATTCATACTGTAGCAGCTGGTTGAACGATGATGCTCTGCTGATGTCACGCCGTCCTCCTCAACTTTTTTGTCCTCCATATTTTTTCGTAGCTGCCGTCGTTGGTGTGTCCTTGGATAGATCTGGACCAATGTCATGGCCGTCTGCGTCTCTGTCTTTGTCTCTGTCTCCTCCATTAGAGACTTGACTAATTGTCTTCAGATTGAGCCAGAGATGAGAGAAAAAAAAAATCAGCATTTGGTTATTTCAATGGGCCAGCTGCGGCGTTGGCAGTCAGACGGTCGCCGGCCTTTTCAACAGTCAGATTCATTCTTAGTTATTTGTGTGCAGTGATCTTGACAGACAGCACTCTCTGGGTGTTGATACGGAGTTCTCAGTAATTACCTCTTCAATCCCTATCTCACCCCAGTCCCCGGGGGGATGTGTGTGTGTGTGTGTGTGTGCGGTGCCTTCAGGGAAAGGCAGGAAAGAAGAAGACGTCAATAATCCATCCTGTCCCCCTGCTGGCATCTCGTATATATATATATATATTTATATATATATCGCTAAGGACGGTGCATAGATAATGAATCCCTGCCTCACCTCGCCATTTCAGCTGGAGAGAAGTGTGTCCTGAGGGAAGGAGGAAGAGTTACGCACACGCTCACCAAGTCAAGTCAAGCAGCAGATTTATCGTCAGACTCTGATTTAGACACGCAGACGGATAATTTCTCACTAGGTCACGTGGGCTCGCAGGTTGATTTCGGAGCACGACTTCAACCTTTTTTGTGCTGCCTGTTATGGAACAATCGGGTGGAGGTCACGGAGTTCAGTTGAACCGGTTATAGTTGTCAGTGACAGGCAGTTTTATGACGAGTCAGGAAATAAGGGGTATTCTTTCTGCAGTGTAAGACACTGGACTGGGAGTCAGGAAATAAGGGGTATTCTTTCTGACCTGCAGTGTAAGACGCTGGACTGGATCGTTAAAGATTTATATTTTTATTAATTGATGATGGTCATAGTAGAAAATGGTTTATCTCACTATATTGTAATATGTCATATTATATTAAGTTGTAATTGTTTCAAATATTGCTATTTAATAATAATGTAGCCTCAAATTTGTGCATTGAGATTTAAGGTGCAGTACCTGCAGGGATGACGCCCTTTACTTGTATTTTCCTTTTTTTTAAATGATCAATTTGTTGGAAAGTTGTAAAGAAAAAAACTCTTGTTTGGAATGTTAAGCAGCGTAAAACACTCCTAACACGCCTAAGGAGAGTGCAGATTTGATAAGGCCCAGTCGTCTGTGTCTGTATTTACACTTGTGTGTGTTCCCACTGATGTTTTCTAGTCGGATGTGTGTATTTTTCTCCACACTCTCATTCCGGCTGGGAGAGCTGCTCCCCAGAGCGCAGTGCATTAATCATGGGCCTTGTAGGGAATCTGGGTGTGACTCCCTTCCCTGCTCTCTCTCTCTCTCTCTCTCTCTCTCTCTCTCTGTACGCTCACATCCCATGTGGTCCTCTGAGGAGAAGGACAGAAACGTGTCCTCTGGTACGGTTGTGTCTGGGGAGAGGGATGAGGGTCACCTCAAGGTCAGAGCAGGCGTCCGGTGGTTTGGTACACCAATTCAATTATTTTCATCACACCTCCTCCAATGTGATTAAAAAAAAAATAATAAAAAACCACGTCACATCACATGCCGGGACATGTTGTTGAGGGTCAAGTGTGTGAAGCTGGGGTCAGTTCGGTATAAAACATAACGAGTGTTTTCTTCTGTGCTGAGGTTTGTCTGTACTTTTTTTTTTTTCCAGGCCAAGGTCAGTGTAAATCAATTGTGATGACAGATCATTGATCATGTGTGAACTCCGCCTCTGCCACTGTGATAGAGGGACTTAAAGACTCTCATCAATGATTAATCCTTCTTCTTACTCATCTATTCATAATAAATAGGCTTTGGTAAATGGCTGCCGTCGTTATTGAGCTCTGTGAAAAAAGGCCGACGCTGGTTTGCGTGTGGATGATCGATGTGCCTGGACGCAGATTTTGCCACAGCAGTAAAATGTTCAACTCAAACTGCGACTCTATACTGTAGGGGTAATTTGTTTGACTCAACCTTAGCCGAGGTGTTGTGTTGTCAGGACAACTTTTTGTTTTTTTTCATTTGTGTACTCGTCGATACCGGGAACCATCGTAGTTACTTCTTTAGTTTGGGTTTCGATAAATATACACTGAATTAGAAGGCTTACAGAGTCAGGAGTTCCAAATTTTTTTTTGTATTTTCCTAACTTCCCTCCAATTTCCAAAGGCCTCTCTAGTGCCCCTGGTGGCCCCCACTTTGAATAGGTAACAAAACTATGTAGGAAAACGTAAAAAGTTTCATGTGCTTCTCAATAGCTGATGACTATTATGATCCAAAAAAAAAAACAACAGCATGTGACGACACTGTGGTCACATTGGTAAAAATCAATAAAGCTACAGATATCCTTTATATATAAATTATTTTTAAAAAGATAAATAAAATTGCCTGGTTGCTGGCAGGGCCAGCAGAACAGAAAGTGAGCAGAGCTTTTACAACCTCAGCTCCTTTATAATTAAAAAACCTCATGTTTTTAATTAACAAATTGACACCACGTGGTTTAAAATACTTCCTAAACTACCCACTAGTATTTGAATGAGGTATCGGGCCTGATACCAACACTGGTACTGTATTAGCATCGATGCATCCCTACTGGGTTTGACTCCGAACATCCATCAACACACTCGTCCTTTGATGAAGTACAAACAGTTGAAAATGAATGAACAAATGGATTAAATTTATCAAACTAATGCGCCGGCTATTTATAGGCTCTGCTGACTTGGTGTTTTGTTTTAAACGCTGAGCTGCGATTGAAGACTCCAATGAGAGGAGCAGGACTTGAAAAATTGATCGGATTTCTCTAGTGAAGCCAGCTGTAGCTCCCCCCTTTGTGGACGTGATGTATAACGTTCTTTACATCCCATCTGTCTCCAACCCCCAGGTACGACCAGGCAGCCCAGAGACGGGGAGGTCTCGGGGGTGGACTACAACTTTGTCTCCATTGAAGAGTTTTTCTCCCTGGAGGAATCGGGAGCTCTGCTTGAGAGCGGCAAGTTTAAAGGTAGGAGTATTGCAGTAAATACATGTGACCCATCAACCCTGCCTGGAGAAAAGGTAATGTTTAAAATTAGATTGTTGCATTTCCTTCAGTAGCATTTCACCAAGGTTATATATAGAGCTGGGAGATGATGGATGATCACCTGCAAAGATCACGTGGAGTTTGCTCCCAAAAGGACAAGCGATTTATTTCCCCTGCTGTCTTCGGCACTTCGGTGACAAGCAGATATATTCACCCTGTGATTTTTAACTTTTCTGTTTGTGAGTATTTTTTTAGTGATGCAACGGCAAATGATAGTTTGTTTGTTTGTTTTGGGTTTTTTCAAGTTGCATCAAAGCAGTTAAGAGGAGAAAGCTAACATTGATTACGTAAAGTTTGACTGGTCTTTTTTTTAAATCATATTATATGTTGATGATGTGATGTTGTCTAAGTTTGAGAAATGACTAAAGAACACTTTCCTCATTCTGAAAAACCAAGCAGTTAAGGTGTACTGTACTGGAAACAGAGCAATCGGACAAAAAAATGTAACTTAATGAAATATAAAATTTAGGTGGCTTTTTGGAATGAAGAGCAAAAGATGTAAAAATTCCAAACAACAACAGATTACATAATAAGACAGTTTTAAAAAGTTGTTGAAGATATATAAAAAAATATTGAGTAAGTTTGACAAGAAAAGAATATGTGCGTAGGTTTCACTGTTTCCCAATAATTGCTAAGAACAGGACGGTCCTTCTCACAGACAACACAGTGCAGTACCACATTTCTGATGCATTTAGAGGGGCGCTGTTTTACTGCCTCACTCTCTTTATCTTTAGATTATAAGTTTTCCTACATATCTGCTGACATTTAAAGCCAAATATAACGTGTATGTAGTCTTTGGCCAAAATCTCCTGAGTCTAGT